ATGAGGATGACGATAATGATGAAATGATGGTGGTAGTGGTAGTGATGGTGATGATAATGATAATAAAAATGGTGATGAAGATGATAATGATGATGGTGGTGATGATAAAAATGATTGTGCGGATGATAATAAAAAGGATGGCGGTGGTGGTGATGATAACGGTGATGGTGGTGATATTGATAATGATTATGGTAGTGGTGGTGATGATGTTGGTGATGATAATGGTGATGGTGGTGATGATGTTGGTGATGATGATAATATTTATGGTAGTGATGGTGATGATGTTGGTGAAGATAATGGTGATGATGATAAGCCTCCCCAATCTACCAAAGACCAATTATTTTCAGAGAATTCTATTTCGTCTCTCATGCTTCACATCCTTGTGTCTTGTCTATTTCTCTCTCTTTCTCTCTGTCTCTCAGTATCTCTGTCTCTCCATCTTTTCCTCTCTCGGTATTTCTGCGTCTTCGTTTCTCCATCTCTTTATCTCTCTCTCCGTCCTCTTTCATCTTCTCTAGCTCTTTGTCCCTCATTCTCTCCGTCTATCTATCCCTCCTTCTCTCCGTCTATCTATCCCTCCTCCTTTCCATGTTTCTGTCACTTTGTGCTTTTATCCCTCTTTCTCTCTGTCTCTCTCTTTCCCTCCAATTGTTGTCTCCTCTTTCTTTTCTTCCCATTTTATGATCGTCCTTCCTTCCTTCCCTCCTTCCTCCTTCTTTCCTTCCTTCCCTCCTTCCTCCTTCTTTCCTTCCGTCTCTGTCTCTATGAGTACTGATGTTAATTTTCTAGAAGGAAGTATCTTTAGTTGTATTGGGGACATTTAATGCCTTGTAGAAAAGCGTTTAATTCTGAGATATACGCACTCACGCAAAGAAGTGCAAACACATACACGCACGCCCGCCCGCACGCTGACACACACAGAAACACACACACACACACACACACACACACACACACACACACACACACACACACACACACACACACACACACACACACACACACACATACACACACACAAACACACACAAACACACACACACACACACACACACATACACACACATACACACACACACACACATACACACACAAACACACACACACACACACACACACACATACACACACACACACACACACACACACACACACACACGCACACACGCACACACACACACACACACACACACACACACACACACACACACACACACACACACACACACACACACACACGCACACACACGCACACAAACACTGCGATGGGGCTGCAGGTGCATCACGCTCCGAGGGGGGGAGGGGGGTCGTGGGGAAGGGAGGCGTTCTTGTGGCCGTCTAACGAACAGACGTCTCCAAAGGTCATGCTAAACATCTACAACACACGACCTTCGCCCTTAATGCAGAGGGCTCGGGAGGCGGGCAGCGCGGGCGAGATGGCGACCGTGACTCGTCTCAATTTGTTAACTCGTCCCTCGCCTCCCTCCCTCTTGGCCGCGGCGCCGGGAGGAGCTCAGACCCTCAGCGGGATGTGCCGTTTGAGCCCCCAGCGAAGGGCGCGAAAGGCCAGGGCTTCTTAAGGCCGAAGTTCAGAAAACCAGGCCATGAATCTGGGGTTTCGAAATACGCCAACACATGACTCTGACAACAGGAAAAATCGATCGAGTGAATGAGAATATCAGACGATCTTCATTTTCAAATGATTTTTTGCTTATCAAAAACAGATTTACAGATCTAATACGTAGGACAAGTACTTGATAGCTCAGGGTTTTCTTTTGCTTTTGATAAAAAAAAACTTGCTCAAGATTATCCCAAAAGTCCAGGGATGGGGGGAAGGGGGAGAGATATGCCCAAACTTTGCACCCAAATACCCCCGGGGGATGAAAAAAGGAATTGCTTCCCGAAGATTGAGCAGATCGCGTGAAGCTGTCTTCCCTTTTGTTTTGTTTTTTGTTTTTATTACGATCATGAATTTCTGTGACGTGAAGGAACCTCTTCAAAGCAAGTGTTTTCGCTCTTTGTCACAGCATTAAGCCCAGCAAGGATAGAGCCGGAGGAAAAGAACGAACAGTACGTTTCCATGCCGTATTTCGACTGACTTTTGGCAGGAAAATCTCACAAGGTACCTTCCTTAGAGCAGCCCCAGGTCAGTACGAGCATATGTGTTCCTGTCACTCTTTGTATAATATATATGTTTTCTTTCTGCTAGAGACATCCTCAAGGCACCATGCTTTCATTAAGGGAATAGATATTCTCTTCCCCCAAGACATCTTACAAAGCCACGTGTGCTGAAATCATGCACTATTTGCCAGTCATTGATGATGCAACTGCTAAGAGTATTCCTTCATTGCAAATTCATTCACAACAAGTCAATCGTAACGTGCGAAGATGAAGCATAACTATAAGTAAAAAATGCAAGTCATCCTTCGTGATAAATGAATGCCATAAATCAAAATAATTGTCGCTATAATAACGATAATTATAATAATAGTAGAGGCAGTAGGAAGAGTAAGAAGAATACCCTCAACGAAGATAATGATGATGAAGGTGATGATGATGATGGTGATGATGATGATTGTGATGGTGGTAATGGTGATGGTAATGGTTATGATGATGATTATGATGGTGATGATGATTGTGATGGTGATGATGATGATGATAATAACAATGATAATGCTCATTATAATGAACATGATAATAATAACGAATGATTATAACAATAACAATAAGAATGTAGATAATGGTTAGGATGATAATAAAAATAATAATGATAATGGTAATAATAATAATAATAAATAATAATAACGACAACAAAAACATAATAATAATGATAACAATAATAATAACAGTAAAGGTATTGTTAATAATAATGATAATGAAATAATTATAATAATAATGATAATGATAACAAAAAATAATAACGATGATAATAATATCAATAAGGATAATGATAATGATAATCATGATAATGATAATAATGATAACAATAATAATACTAATACTAACACTACTACTACTACTACTACAACTACTACTACTACTACTAATAATAATAATGAAATTATAATAATGATACTGATTATAATAATGACAATAATAACGATGATGATAATAACAATAATGGTAATGAAAGTAATAACAGTAATGATAATTATGATAATGTTAATGATAATAATATTAATAATGCTAATGATGATAATAGTAATAACAATGGATAATAACAAATTAGGATAATAATGATGATGATAATGGCAATGATAATAATAATAACAACAGCAATAAAAATGATAACGATAATAATAACAATAACGATAATGGTGATAATAATGATAATGATGATGGTAATAATAATAGTGGTAATAATAATAATAGCACTAATAATAGTAATAATAATATAACAATATAAAATTATAATGATGATAATAATAATAACAGCAACAACAACAATAATGATTATATTATCATGATAATAATAACGATGATAATAGTAGTAGTAGTAACAATAACAATAACAATAATAAAATGTAATAATAATAAGGCCAATAATGATAATAGTAATAATGAAAATAGAAATAATAATAATAAAGAAAATAATAATAATAATAATAATAATAATAATAATAATAATAATAATAATGATAATATAATAATTCTTATTCTTGTTCTTATATAAATGCTGATAACAACAACAACAATAATAATAGTGATAATAAGAATAATAATGAAATAACAATAACAATAATAACAACGATAATGATGGTAATAGTAATAATGATAATAAATATGTTAATAACAATAATAATAATAATAGTAGTAGTAGTAGTAGTTTTGACAACAATAATAACAATATTAATAATAACAATAATAATAATTATAATAATGATGAGGATGACAAGGATTATGATAAGGATAATAATAATAATAATAATAATAATAATAATAATAATAGTCTTAACAATGATAATATTGCTGATAATAATAATAATGACAATGATAATAACACTAATAATAATGAAATAAAAATAATGATAATAATAATAGTAATAGTGATGACAATAATAGTAATGATAATATTAATAACAACAACAGCAGCAACAACAACAACAACAACAACAACAATAATAATAATAATAACAATAATAATAATAATAATAATAATAATAATAATAATAATATAATATTTTGATTATCATTACCATAATGATGACGACGATGATGATTAGGATAACAATAATAATAATAATAATAATAATAATAATAATAATAATAATAATAATAATAATAATAATTAATAGTATTTCATTACTATCATTATTATAATAATAATAATTACAATAGCAGTAAAAACAACAACAATAATAATTGTAGAAAAGGTATGAATGAGACTGAATATCTTCACAATACAAGAGATGTATTTGATCGGTTTCGATTATATCTTCGTCAGGAATACATGTATTTCTAATGTATTTCTGACGAAGATATAATCGAAATCGGTCAAATACATTCCTTGTATTGTGAAGATATTCATTCGCATTCATACCTTTTCTACATTTGTCAATATGAATACGGTTCAACAATAATAATAATGAATGAAGAAAACACTCTACCGTGTTGATACTATGGTAGAAAAACTCACAATGTAAAAACTAGATTTATTAAAAATGAGACAACAGTTTCGGAATCCACCTGGATTCCATCCTCAGTTCTGGATGGAATCCCGGTGGATTCAGAAACTGTTGTCTCATTTTTGATAAATCTAGTTTTTACATTGTGGGTTTTTCTGCCAATGATAATAATAATGATAATAAAAATGATGATAATAATGATAATAGTAATAATCACAATAATAACAATGATAATAATAACAACAATAATAATAATAAAAAAATAATGATAACAAGAACAATATTAATAATAATAATAATAGTAATAATAATAATAATAATACTACTAATAATAGTAATAATAATAATGATAATAATGATAATAATAATAGCAAT